TATTCTCAGTTTCCCAACAGATTGGAGACGAATTTGTCTTGATTTGATTGGCTCAAAATTCCCCTGCACCATCAGCATGCATATAACGTTCGACCCACACTGGAAAAAATCGCGCGCTTTAAAGGTTGTAATTTTGATGTAAATATGATGTAAACGTCCAAAATTCTGTAAATTTGATGTAAATGATTTCCATTAAATTTACAGAATTTTGGACACTTACATCATATTTACATCAAATTTACGACCTTTAGCGCGCAATTTTTTCCAGTGCCAAATTCTGGACTCAWTTTTCCGGAAACTGAGAAGGTCATGGGTTTACAATAATGTAATAGTTTTGTGTCAATSAAGAAACACATTCGGTATATGCAGATTAAAAAATACACGTATTTCAAAAACGGTTGTCGGGGAGAACGGCGATTGTCGAAGGAAGATTGCAAGACAAAAAGAGTTTTTAAAAAAAGAAAAAAARGGTTTWAAAAAAATGGTTTTTAAGAGTTTTTTGTCTTTTTTTAGCGATATTTCACTTGTTGGATTCACATTGCATAGAAATGAGCTACTATTTAAAACGAACTATCTTACAGTATAAATCAGTTTCTATTTCCCTTCAATTAGCAAAACCAGCCCATTTCTCCTTTTGGTCGTGCAATCGCCGTTTGACCTTTTACATCTGCCATTTTTTACGAGAACCTTTTTTGAAATATGTATACAGTATATCCGAAAAGTAAAAGATGCATATTAGCAGTGCTTTTCAGTATTTTGTTAAGCGCAGCTGGCCAGGTGGAAGCGCGAAGTGCCACGGCACTTATTGAGAATTGAGCCATTGATAATAGTGCAATTACACTAAAGTAATTCAGTAATTTGTTTATTTACATACAAACAGAAAAGATCGAGAGGTGCATATTGAACTCCCAAAAGCAAAAAAGTAAGCATGACATGGCAAAATGTTCATTTTATCTTATTCTTTGATTATTTGATCTATGGGGATTCTGTCAGATTTCTTTTGTAATTTTCAGTGATAGATAAGATAGATAAATCCCTGATTATTGACGATGTGATTTATTCAAATTATACAGGAAGACCTGGTCCTGTTTTGAAGAGGACAACGGCTTCATTGGCATGTTTTGGGGGTAAATATTAATATTCCTTTTTTAAATTACTATAGTGCAAACACTGAAATGATGAAAAGTCACTAGCCAGATAGTCTTTTTTATTACTTAAAAGTAATGTGGATAAGGCAAAAGAAAACAAGGAATTCGCATTACATTAATCAACAGAGTTTAGCACTATTTAGTTAACATTTTCAGCTTGGCTTTGGTGTTCACACTSTAAATACATATTTTCCTTTGTTTAACGAGAGAATCGATGACTTTCATATCAATTGAATGATGGAAATAAAAGATGAACTTCGGGAATTCATGAAAAATGATAATTGTGAAATTGAAAGAATGAATGAATGTGTGAATATTGCCTACTGATGTAATTGCAAGGAGCTGGGGGGGGGGGGGGGGGGGGGGAGATCTGGTGGAAAGAAGTGGGGGAACAAACTTTGTGTGCATAAAATGAGGGGACCAAATAAAATTCTGCAATATCAATACTAGGAAAACTGACTTTTTATTGGAGAATAGGATAAACAAGAGGCTTAATTGACAGTCTCATCCTCAGATTTATCCACTATTAGTACGTAACATTGTGCTATTTTGTCTAAAATGTTTTGGTTATAGTATTTTAGATCATTTGAATGGTAAACAATTTTAAAGAATTATGGAGGAACAATAAAAAGTGTGTCCCCAATAAGTTTTTGAGAAGTTTATATCTCATTTCCACCAGCCCTCCCTCTCCCTGTAAATAATGTTAGGTCCCTTATGAAGTATTTGATTGGTGAGTGGATAAACGTACGAACAAACGAGTAAAAGTATGTAATGTGAATGAATTAATGAAGTAATTGATGAGTGAGTGAATGCAAAGTGTATGGATACCAAAATATATATGAAAATTTATTTGATGCTTTGGTCGCTTTCATTTGGACAGAATTCAAGAATAGAACTAAATGATAATGTCTTTTGTCTTGTAGTAATTTTCCAAGGTTTTCGTTATGCGTCCCTGCTAGCATTGTCTCTCTCGTTGTTGACGAGTAATCAGAAATTATTTGTAATATATTTCGAAGATCTCCAACAAAAGTTGTAAATAATCGAAGACGAAAATAATAGATCTTTGTTTTTTTTAATATTTCTTGCGAAAGATTTTCAACAATGTAAGCACTTCAAAGGACTTTACGAGCAGTAGAACAAAGGTTCAAGACKTTCAGTATGGTTCTGTGAAGTGGTAGAAAGTGAGCGAAAAGTAGAATTGAGCTTGACTGGAGAAAAGGTTAAGTGTAGTAAATGAAGACTCTCGTTTCCGGTCAAACAGGTTTTCAAACAAGTTCCGTTCGCCCGCAGTATATAGCGGACAGCGGCACTTTAAACAAAGTAGTTCGAGTCGGCAGAGTCTCGATTGCTCATCGGTGGTCTCATTGAGAACAACAACGAGGGAAACTCGAATTAACCATTATGTCGATTATGTTAATGTGTGAATGTAATGTAATGTTAATGTAATATGTGCAATGCCATTAATTAATGAATTATATGTTGTTGTTTTTAAGGGAGCACTGAAGATGAATCCATTTTATTGTTTATTTATATATATAATTATGTATACTTGAAAACTGTGCGTTCTCTAAATGGCCACTAATCACCTACCTTTTCATTTAATTTAAAAATACGCGATTATCTGAAAGTATTTAGGGACACTTTTTYTCAACATTAAGAACGCGAAATCATGCTACAAGTGATTCTGTTATTTTCTAATGCTTTTTAAACTAATGAAATTCGACGAATGATGTTTTGATATGACTTTTTACATCTTTTGAAAAAGTTTTATTTTTTAATTTCTTTTATCCTTTGCAATTCATTTACAGTTCTAACCAGTCTTGAGTTTGGTTTCATGACATATTACTCTAAAAGTTCCGTGATCGCAAGTTCTTTCTCTTGTATGTAACAACCTGGCCATTATTTGTTTATGTTACTTGCCACCTTTTTTTTCTTTGGACTCTTGTTTGTTGAAACCCCTTTATGGTTGTGTGTAGCTAAACTTTCTTTTTCCTGTTGCTCATTGTTTTTTTGTACGTGAATAATCCATCTTGTGTAATTGTTTTCAAATGTCTGATCTGCTTTGTTCTGTTTGAGATTGTGTTCCACTTTTTTTCTGGAGTTCATTTCCGTCTAAGACATATTTTTTTGTATAGAGGTACTGATAGAAAGTTGCCTTTGGTTTCACTCTGTTTTCTCTACACATTCAGTCATCTTGCTTCACTCAATTTGTGCAATTATTTTGTTGTTTGTTTATCTAATTTCAATGCTTTTCTTCATTTCATTCTTTGATTTTTCCATCAGCTCCTGGTAAGAAAAGTGTCTTTGCTTCCCTGCATTTTCCACACTGTTATGTAAACTAATTGTTTTCCTTTATAAAGTATGTTTACTTTCTTCATTGATTTCTTATTTTAATACCTGCTATATATTTACATACCAGTATACGTTTCCTTGTTTTTCCTTTTTTTTACAACTTTTCTGATCGTCCCATGTCTTCTTTGTTTAAAATACCTGATTTCCTTTCTTCTTTGCTTACATTCACCTCAAGTACTCCATCTATTACTTTTAATCTTTCTTTCRTGTTAGCTTTCCCGCTTCCTTTAATTGTTTCCTTATAGTTGTTTGTTCAAGCAAATCACCTCCACCAACGTGTTTCAAGTAGTGTGTCAATATCAAAAAGGTAAAGTAAAACCAAAAGGTATCTGAGCTGGAAAAATGGCAAATCATTCACATTAGTAGGGGAGGGGCCGTTGTTAATATTTTCTTAAAATCATTGAGTTATTATAACTTGCACGGAAAAGGTTAGATTGAAGTGAGTGATTGTTTGTGCTCCTTRTGGAAAGCAAAGTTAGTTGCTGACCTGCTCTTATGAGTTTTCTACGTATCTCTCATTATTCACAAGGCAATGCTTTAGTTTAAGCAAGTGGAATGACGTCTGCTATACTTAATTATAGTTATCGATTCATGCGGCGTAGTTTCTATAACCACTTGCCTTTCTCTGTCATCTAATCTGCAGTGTTTGGGCAGGCTACCTCGACAGCTTGTAACTTTCAAAGGTGTAATCAGCTRGGGTAAATTTTCTCAAAAAACGTGTCTCCAACGAGTTCGAGCGTGTCAATTCTCTAGAAGAATCACCAAAATGGTGAAGTAGAATACTAACTGTGACGGAAGAAGATGTCATCTGATGCTACAGATGCACGTCGAACTTCCTCCTCGCTGCCTCATCACCTATCCTTGCTTTCTACTTCAGGCAACACCTGAGGTATATCTCATATTACTAGACTTCTCCTTTTTTCTGTTCTTCAAAAGCATATGCAATACCGTTCTAGCTATCGACAAGCTTAACACACGGAATATCTGGAAATCTTCGAGGGATTGAATGGACTTTTTCCCTGTCAAATTTTAGAGAGGGGTAATGTTTCAATAATATTCGAGGTCAGTTTCTGTCAATATTAGAGGAGATCCTGGGAAACTAATTTCCTATGAAAGCTCATTATTGATATATACGGTCAGCTCTTGCAATTACGGACACCCGGGGGACCATCATTCAGTGTCCGCAGTACCGAGAGTCCGTAAAAATGGGAGTTACTTTTAGTGTTTCTTTGTATTTTTCGTTTTCGACGTGATTCAATGTTTTATTTCCCCTCCGTAATATCCAAATGTCTTTAATAGCGGGGTGTCCGTAATACAAGAGTTGCTGGGGCTATAAGAGGGGGAGGGGAGGGTGTGCAAAATATTCAAAATATCGGACATCAAGGTTAATTTATAGTATGTCTCCCATTATAAATTTCCATTCAATTTTGGCCGTGTCGGAGTCTCAAATTCTTCCTTGCTCTCTAAATCTTCCTTTTTCCAGACGACAGTCATCGCCTAACCCTTATTTATTGTAGCTCATATAAATTTCCGAAAAATGTGTAAATTAAGTATGATTGCGCTCAACTGACATAATTTAACTATAATAGATAATGGTAATTATATTGTATATGTTATTATCTTGAAATTATCACAACTGAAATATTAATAGCAGTCATGGACCGCGGAGCAGTGGGAGCTGGGGGGCTACACCCCCCCCCCCAATAATTTTTCCGACATTTTGAATTTTCTAAAATAAAGAAGCGAAGTTTCCTTATGAAATTTCACCATATATATTCCATAAAAATTGTGTAAAATGAACAATAAAAATTGAAGCTTTTAATTTTTGAGAAGTCTTTGGGATTTTATTGATAATATCGCTGACCGTGTGTTCGGTAAAAATGTCTTGGATGACGCCTCAAAACGCTCGAAATGACATTTCCGAGAGTTAAGATTTCAAGAATTTCCGAACCCCACTAGTACCTCGTCGCCGCTAGCCCCCCCAAACAAATTCACGCTCCGCGGTCCCTGACAGTGGTCTAGTCCTCGTCATCAATGTTATCCAGAACGAGCGACACATATTTCAGAACAGGTGATATTTATATCTGCTGTCAGTAAGTATATTGATGGAAGAGGTGCATGTCCTCTCCCTACTACAGAATGGCGACTGAATGCTCCTGCGAGATTTTCCGAAAACGGTAAGATTGACGTTTTTTTCCATTCAAGGTGTTTCGATCGTAATAAAGAGCGCTTCGCGCGTATTTTGAAACTCCAACTACGTCGCAAATTTCGATTCCATTGCACTCAAATTTTCACAGAAGTAACAGTGATCATCGATAATTCTTGTTGATAAATTAATTTGCCAAAAAGCGAAGCCATTTGGCCAAACTATGCAAAATAAATACACCTTCAGTTTTCTTCAAAATTAATTTTCTCGAAACTCATCGCAGAGATTGTAATAATATTTTTAGAATCATTTCTTAATAACATAATTGATATACTGACGAAGTTTCAATAAAATCTTAACCTAAAATTTCGAGTTGATTGAGCAAGAAAATGATGTACATTCGAGACTCRAATTTGAGAAAAGACGTTTTTTGTTACGTTTTTCGAGAACGAGACTTTTATTACAAAAAAAAACCGGTCAAAGCTAGAGAATGATCAGTATCTTAAAGGATATGCATTTTCGATATCATACTAATGTTATAGTTATACAGATTTTAATTGAAAGCCTACAAGTGGCGGATCAAGGGTTAGAAAACGGGGTCTGGTGCACCCTTTTTTAACTTAAATAAGACAAGTTTTATGATTTGCATTCAAACGAACAGCACTCATATATTAAAAAATGCTAGATCCACATCCATATA